TTTGGTGGAACTGGATGCAAGATTGGTGAAATCTTTCCTTTTCACATTTTCAGTTTGCTAGCTCCTTGTTTTTATATGTACTGTTATAGTGTACATGTGATGTATCTTTGTGATTCTATTTTTCTTTCTCTGTTATAGGCCTTGTATATGCTGTATTGGTAGAGTTGCATGTTTAGAATTCTTGAACTGTTTTGTACATGTTATCTGCTATTGAATAAAAGTGTATGCTAGAGGGCATTTGACCCTCATAGGCCAACTTGGATGTAGGAAATTCTTTCACAAAGAATTTCTGAACCAAGTATAAAATTCTAGCGTTCTTTTTCTTCGTTTTTCGCTTCTATAAGTCTATTTTCTGGGGTGATTCTTGGTAGCTCTATACCAAGAATTGTAACAGCCTATTTTAAGCATTATGACTTCCGAAGTGGTTGATTTTCTCTTTCCATCGGAAAAAGACAATTTTGTTTACATATTTAAATATTCATTGGGTCTCTTCCCTTCTCAAATTCTCATTAGTATGAGAGAACTGTTGGTATATCAGTGAAGGATGGCTAGCAATGTGTTCTTTAGGTTATTGCTCCCAAACACATGTAATTTAGTGATTAAAACCTTAGCTAAGAAAATCTGCACTTGGGCCGCGGGATTGCTTACAAGCTTCTTTTATGATTGTTGAGGTTAATAACTAGGGTTGTTACTAGTTTACCAGGGCTGATGGGTGTGTAAATTGCTATGCAGGTGAAAGATGATTCTGCCAAGTTTAATATGCTCCTCAAGGTCAAGAGGGTAGACAAGGAAGAGAAGTTCAAGGTAGAAGTACCCAAGAATAACAAAGGCAGTTTCCATCTAAATCAGATTGAACCACATCATTCCTAATCCTTATCTGAATACATTAGCAATATAGGCCTGGATGGCCCTTAAATTTGCACCTTGTATATATATATATGTGTGTATGACTCAAAAATTATTTACTTCCGACTGATGAAAGTGGATCATATACCTATCCTATGAAAAGAAAAAGTAAAGGAATTGAAAGGAAAATTTAAGTCAATGTCAAAATTTGACATATATTATAATGCATTGGGTTGAACTAACTGTGACCTGACTTGTTATGCGTTTTGAAATTCGAGCGTTAATTAATTAATACGAATTTAATTTCTTAGAAGCAACCCATAATGTTTAACCTTCAATATAGCCCAAAATATTAATGTTGTTTTATTTTCAAAAATGCCTCGTTCAAATTGCTTACATTATAAATTCATACACAAAAGTTGCATGAGTATTGAAGTTTCTACATCTCAACCAAAATCATTACATTGTGAACTTGTACGCAAGCAGACTATATTGATAACTACAAGACAACATTATGTAGGGTTCTTTTAAATTGCTTCTCCAATATCCTGACCTGCTCCTTCATTATTTTATCCTGAAATGCTAAATTTTCCAATAGGGTGAGAAATAAGTCTCATTAAGTGAAGAACTCCTAAAACCTTCTAGCATTTGGTTTCCATAGCAAAGGAGTATCCATCTTTGCGATGTAGTTTGAAACAATAGATGCATATAGATACAATGTATCAAAAAGAAAAAGAAAAAAAAGAAACAATAGATACATATGCACATATAAATAGCAAATTTTCAAAGAGGCATTCTAGTCATCAAGAAAATAGTGTTCAATTGTATCGGATATTCTTTGCTCTCGTTTGTATGCCCTATTTGTCTAAATTAAATAGTATGCGTTGAGCTCAAGAATTTAGATGGGCGTCCCCATGAATATTGTAATAATCAAGATTGGCACCAAAGTCACCCCATCACCTTGCGGATAATCCTTCTTTATCCTGAGAAAACACCATCATCTTCTTGAAATTGCTCGTGCCTTTCACCATGAATATCCCTAAATACTTATTAGGGGAAACTGTCCTTACATCCCTTACCTTATCAATTGCACGCCCTCTTGAGTCCTCCAGTTTCACTCTTCAATATCTTGCCTTGCCAACCTTTTCCCTTCCTTCCTAGTCATTTCGTCTCTTCCTCCCAAATTGTTTGGTTGTGTTGCCTTTATCCATATTCTCGGTCATCAGAGGTCCAAATTTGACCCTAAGTCCTTTAAGTGTGTCTTCATTGGTTACTTTTCTACTCAACAGGGCTACAAGTGTTATCCGTCCTCTCTATATAAGGTATTTGTTTCTATAGATGTCACCAGTTTTTGAAACACAATCCTCTTTTCCCTTGCCTTCTCTTTAGGAGGAGTCCATAGAAGAAGATGAAGATATGTCACGAGAACTTACTAAAATCACAGTGTTACCATTGCCATCGAAAACAAGGGAAGTAACCATAGTACCTTATGCCACAGTGTTACCATTAGAGACAGGAGGAGCTATTCAGCCTTTGGTTTATAGTAGGAAAAACTGGGAAAGGATCCTCAAAGGGTAAATAATCTAGAATCTCTAGACAACAAGGATTCTGATTTAAGTTCTAGTTCTAGGAATCAAGCACCTATATTCCATGACATAGTTGATCTGCACTTCCCTATTGTTATAAGAAAAGTTACTTGGTCATGTACTATTCATCCTATTTCTCACCTTATTTTGTATGAGAAGTTGTCTCTAGGTTTTCATGCCTTCGATATTGCCTACAATACAAAAAATATCAAGAAATATCCAGGAAATGGAGTTCAGTGGTTCCAGTATGAATAAAACTTTTCTGAATTGGAAAAAATAAAAGAAATTAAAAATTTCCTCCATTCTTAGATACTATGGCCTTGTCATTCATTCTCAAGTATTGTAGATTGCAAAAGAAAAAGAAAAATACCAAACAACAACACAAAAAAGGAAAGAAAATCGAGAGCTTTAAACATACCCTAAAGGAAAGCAATACTAAACAATAATAAAGACAAAAATTCAAAATAAAAAAATGACACTACAATATCATAGGACATAACAGAACACAAAGACAGATTTTTTATACAAGACCAATGAAAAATAGAAGGGCAGAAAGCAAGAGGGAGGAAGATGGAGGTGGCGAAATACCTGCAAGTTGCGAAATACCTGAACGAGCTTTCGGTGGAGGACGATGCAGAGGAAAGAAGGATAAGGCAGCATAAAATGTAAGAGATCTTATTCTTACCTGATGTGTAAAAATGGGAGAAACAAGTAAAAATGTTAACCTGTAATAAAATAGGGATATGTTATTCTAGCTATCATCTTTTCTGTCTACTTTTGCCTACCATTCTCCAATACCATTATATCAGAATCTAAAGAGGAGAGAGAAAAATAAATTCTTAGAATCTGAATCGATCCACATTAACAAAAAAATAAGGGAATGAATAAAATCAGTTAAGTTTCTACACACAGTGAGTTTAAATATGACATCACCAATCTAACTAACTAATCCTAAACTGAAGGAAAAGGCCCAGTACAAATAAGCCCAATTAACATATAAGCCCAGGCAGTAAATAAAGTAACTAACTTGAAACAGAAAACAGAATGCTACATCAACACCCCCCCCTCAAGTTGGAAGGTGAATATCCTTAAACCCCAACTTGTCCATGAAGTCACGAAAATGATTAGGATGAAGGGCTTTGGTAAACATGTCTGCAAGCTGTTGAGATGAGGCAATATGTATCAAATGAATCAGTCCTTGCAGAATATGATGGCGTGTAACATGACAATCAAGCTCTATGCGCTTGCTTCTTTCATGAAAAGAAGGATTATGGGCCAAATGAACTGCAGCATGATTGTCACAATAAAGCATAGCAGGACCAGAAATGGGAACACGAAGATCATGTAAGATATAGGTGAGCCATTGGATCTCACAAGTCAAAGAGGCTAAGGCACGGTATTATGCTTCAGCGGAGGATCGACTCACAGTGGTTTGCTTCTTGGATTTCCAAGAGATCAAAGAGGTGCCAAGAAAGACACAAAACCCAGGAATAGAGCGACGAGTATCCAAGCATGTGGCCCAATCAGCATCACTGAAACCAGAAAGTGTAAGAGAGCTACTAGAAGAGAAGAATAACCCCTTGCCAGGAGACCCCTTTAGATATCTGAGTACTCGAATGGCAGCATCAAAATGAGCTATCATTGGGTTAGCCACAAATTGGCTAAGCTGTTGCACAGCAAAAGATATGTCCGGTCGAAAAGGTATCTATGCCCATGAATGGATGGAATCGAGTATGGCCCCCAAATATCAATATGAACTAAATCAAAAGCTGAACTTGAAATACTGGAACTAGTATTGAAAGGTAATTTCTTCTGTTTAGCTAAATGGCATATGTCACATGGATCATCTGTATCTTTACAAGAAATGAAAGGGTATTGAGCTATCATGACTCTTATTACAGACTTTGAGCAGTGTCCTAATCGAGAATGCCATATATCAATGGTTGAAGACTACATTGCTACTTTCTTATTCTGAGCAGTATTGCTCCATAGTCCTTCTCCCTTTGTGCCATCAGAATTGCTGCAATGTTGATTGAGGATATAGAGACCTCTCTTCAACTTAGCTGAACCAATCGTTAGCCTGGAAGGTATTTGCTGAATGATACATTGAAGATGCTGGAAAATCACAGTACAATTAGTGTCTTGAATCAATTTATTTATTGAAATCAAATTGACCTTGAACTCTTCAACATATAACACATTTGTCAATGTTAAAGTCTTGGAAAGAATAACAGTTCCAGAATGAAAAGATAACACCTGTTTTCCATTAGGTAGAGTGATAGCTATTGGTTCAATCTTTTGAATGTATGACAAACTGTCCATGGAATGAGTGATGTGATCGGTTGCTCCAGTATCTAAAATCCATTGAATTCTAGATTTACCTGAAGATGAATCAGTGGTCTCAGCATTGAGGACCTTAGCTTCTACCATGTTGCTGATATGAGGGGAACCTTGTTGCACAGATTGTTGTATCATTCCAAGGATGGTTTGATACTGATCCTTTGTGAAGGCTTCTTTAGAATCTGGTTGCAAAGCTGCATGATGGTGTGGAACAGTAGGATCATGATTCTAGTTTACATCAACCACATTGGCCTTGTGTGCTACATTTGGCCTATAATCAAAACTTGGCCTGTAATCAGTATTTCTCTGTTTGAAACCTGGTGAATAGCCATGCTTCTCAAAGCATGTCTCCGCCGTATGACTTGTCCTTCCACAATAAGTACACAGTCTATTTGAACCTGTTCTCCCTCGACCAACATAGGATCCACGTCCTCTGCCACGTGCTTGATAAGGTTGTGATCGTCCTCTACCTTGATCAGCAGAATTGTAGAAAGTTTTTGGACCTTCAAAATTAAGAGAGTTACCTTCAAGTTGCAACTGTCTCTCTTGTTGTATGACCATCGAGAAAACTCGATTAATTGATGGCAAAGGATCCATCAACATAACCTGAGACCTTACATGACTGAATCGTTCATTTAATCCTTTAAGGAAGCGAATAGAGTAATCTCTTTCACGAATACTCCTAACCTTCAAAGCAATTGAACAACAAGGTTTAATGCATTTGCATGTTGGTGTTGGCTGTAACGCTTCAAGCTCATCCCATAGGATCTTGAGTCGTGTGTAGTAATCAGAGATGCTACTGTCTCCTTGATGCATCCTATAAATCTCATCCTGTAGATCTGAGATTTTGAAGATATCTGACTGAGAGAACCTCTCTCGGAGGTCGTTCCATACATCTGAGGCTCGATCCATCCATAAGATCGACTGTGAAATAGATTGAGTTATGGAGTGATGTAACCATGACAGCACCATGGTGTTACACCGTTCCCATGCAGCGAAATAAGGATCAGAAGGATCTGGAACAGAGATAGTTCCATTGACAAAAGAGAGTTTATTCTTCGATATTAAAGCCATTTTCATAGATCTGGCCCAATTGTGGTAGTTCTTTCCATCCATGAGTGAAGATACCAAAACTAAAGAAGGATTCTCATTAGGATGCACATAGTAAGTGCTACCTGGATTTGAAGGATCATCAACGATCGGAACATGTGTTGCGGAAGGAAAAATCTGATCTGTAACAATCGGTATTCGATTTGTTACATTCTCTTGATCTATGTCGGAACTCTGATTCGCCATCTATTCACTTCAATGAGTGCATGCAAGCTAAATCAAGAACGAATTGAAAACGAGAAATAGGAAGAGAAGAAGTTCGTAGAACGCAAACAAAGAACGACGAATATCAGAGCTCCGATTAGAGCTCTGATATCATCTTAGAATCTGAATCGATCCACATTAACAAAAAAATAAGGGAATGAATAAAATCAGTTAAGTTTCTACACACAGTGAGTTTAAATATGACATCACCAATCTAACTAACTAATCCTAAACTGAAGGAAAATGCCCAGTACAAATAAGCCCAATTAACATATAAGCCCAGGCAGTAAATAAAGCTAACTAACTTGAAACAGAAAACAGAATGCTACATCAACATAAATGTTAATCTTATATTCTAAGAGAAACCCATTCTTTAACGAATATGCTGACGTGTCGCTTTCTCCTTCACTTTCAGTTTTGTGTTCACACTACAAAATATTTAAAACCTTTCTTGATAAAAAAGAATAAAAAGAAAATATTAAATAAAATGGAATTTGTAATTAAATTCAATTGAGAAAATATGTTAACAATTGTTGGTGGCAGACAACTCATTTAATGTCCCTCTCTTTCTGCATTGGAATTTCCAAATTAATAATATCTCACTGCTTTCTGAAATCTTGATTTTCATTTTCAATTTGAATTTTTAATTTGAATTTAAATTCTGAATTTGAATTAAAGGGTGGGAAAACATTTGAACAATTGTTGGTGGCAGAGAGCTCACTTACTATCCCATTACTTTTTTTTTTAGATATTATCTCATTACTTTTTACATGGGTAATTGTTATTCCTATTAATGCTGCATAAAAAAAAAATACTATTTTGTTAAAAATAATCCTTAAAAAAATGAAAATATTTTGTAAAAAACACAAATATTTTGTGTGTAAATAGGATATGTGTTATTAGATTTTTCATTTGGTAATTAGCTTCTGTGCACATATTTCTTCTCTTATTTATCTTCTTCATCTTCTCAAATTTAGTAATTAGCTTCTGTGCATATATTTCTTCTCTTATCTGTCTGTTTATCTTCTTCATCTTCTCAAATTGTTGTTCTATTACATGAACATGTAATATTTTTTTTTGCAGCTTTGTTGTAGAACAAAACTGATGGGATGATTTGGAATAACTGGGATATGTGCTTTTGTATTTCCTCAGAGGAAGGTATGGCATTCTTCTTTATCTGCTTTTCTTCTATAAGTATTTTCTCCATAATCTAATATCATGAATGAATGAGATGATATAATATAATGTCTTAACTTTTAAATGACTAAATATTTGACTTTACCCTTCTTTGGAAAAATCTACAAGCTGCAACAAAGAAACAAAAGTATACAACGAGTAATGGCATAATTCTCTTAGGGCACCATCTCAAAATTTAACACGATAAAAATTTCTCCTTTATCTTAAAGTTCTTCTATTTTCTGTCTTTAATTTCTGCAATAGCAAAATGAGTTTTCCCTTCTATTCTTCCTGTCTATACATAATTTGTTTCGCATTGTTATTGCTGTTCTTTAATTTACGTTTGTTCTTGACATATATTCTTACCGTGATGATGAGAGTGATGAGTTGGATATGGATGATACTACTTTGACCCTTGTAAAACCATCTTCTATTTCTTCAAAGAATGTTGGAAGTGTGCCAGATGCTAGACCAGTGCAACCCAGCAACATAGTTTCACAACAATTTTTTTTTTAGGAATTTTTTGCTTTAATTATCACTATTAATTTATCCTTCTACTTTTTTTAATTTTGTTTGTGCCTCTTGTATAAGTGTCTAGCCTAATTCAATGTAATTAGGCATTGAAAAGCTCTGTTTTGCATGCTCATATTCAAAATATGAATTAGCAGAGAAATTGATGGCTCTTCAATTTCCAAATATAATACAGGCATATGAAGCTTTTTATCTTCTAATTAAATTTATCATAATTAGCCTTGAAACCAACCTCCTTAAAAAAAAGTGAATATTCCAGAATTTAAAAAAAAACAATTCAAAAACATAATACAAAAAGAGAAAAGAATTTCGTACAAGTATTTTTTTTAAAAAATATTTAACATAAACATTTTTTAAAAATATTTAATCATTTTTTTATGATTAATATCTCATTATTTTTTTAAATTTTGAAATTCAAACTTGATATATGTGGGAAAAGAGTCAGCATTAATTGGTGGCAAATATTTTTATTTATATCCCACTACTTTTTTGAAATTCGAATTTTAAATTGATATAAGTGAAAAAAGAGTTCAACAGTTTTTAGTGGTAGACAACTGTATTATTATATATTTATTGGAAAATATATTCTTATGGTTAGGTTTAATAATTTTTATTATTATGTTATTTGGGCTAATTTTTACGATCAATTAAAAACGATCATTTATTATAATAATAAAATTTCACCTATATATAATAATAAATTTTAACATTTATTCAACATTTAATGTTTCTGAAGTGCAAAGATATATATATGTATATATATATATAATAAATTTAAATTTAGTATAAAGTTATAGATCAAATGAAAAAATATTAAAAATTATAAAAATATATGCATAGTTGTTAAAAAGATAAAACAAATACTAAATTTAAATGCAAAAAAACAAATAAGAAATGACACATTTATACCATAAAAGAAAATAAATACAAAAATTAACTTAAAAAATTAATACCAAAAGAGAAAAAAATTCGTACAAGTATTTTCTTAAAAAACAATTAACATAAATATTTTAAAAATATATATATATATGTATATCTAATCTAAAAATTATAATTTAAAAGATAAAAAAATTAATTTTTTGAATAATATGTATAATTAATAGAAAAAATTACATCTACCATTCCGTATAAAATAAAATATAAAAATTTAATCACTATAATAATGAATGACCATTCAGTGACCACTGACCATCCAACTCTTGCATCGTAAAAATATATTTGCCATTAAGTATTTTACATACTATTTTAATGTTTCTCATTACTTTTTGCATCAAAAATTATTAAGCCTATTAATAATATTATTTATTATATCTATTAGGGGGAAAATATTTAATTTTTATAGTTTAAACTTTTTAAATTTGAATTTTGAACTTGATAGGTGAGAAAAGAGTATAAAACATAAACTGAAATTATAAAAAATTGGAATTTGATTAAAAGTATTCTAATTACGTTTTTTTTTCTAATGACCGTGTTTCTAATATATATATATATATATATATATATATATATATATGTATGTATACTTTTTAATTATGTTTTTGTTTAAATAATTAAATATTTTATTATATTAAATGCAATTCAATCAATTCACCAAATATTTGATTTAGTAGAATATTTTTTTGTATCAACTCATATTTGTTGATTATATTTTTGTTACAAATATAAAGAAACACACACAATAAAAATAAATGAATATAAATTTTAATTTTAAATAAAAAATAAAAAATGACATTTATCGTTCTGTAAAAAATAAATAATAAAATTTAATTATTACAAAAAAGTTTTAATTTAATACATAACAAACAAATTAAACTTTTATTCTTTTGATGTAAGAGTGTAAATAACACAATTTCATATGTCGTAAATGAAAACTAGAAGCTATTACTTGGAGAATGTGCACATCCTTCTATCCATGTTTCCCACTACTTTCTATATGGAAAATTATTAAGCTTCTTAATAATATTAATTTTTATGTCTATTGGTTGGAAAAATATTTAATATTGAAAATTTAAATTTTTTAAATTTGAATTTTGAACTTGAAAAGTGAAAAAAGAGTTCAGCATTTAATATTTCTGTAATGGGAAAAAGATATCTATATAAGAAATTTGAATATAATATAAAGTTATAGATTAAACAAAAAATATTTAAAACTATAAAATATATGTATAGTCGATAAAAAAATAATTTAAATTTTAAATTTTAAAAAAAATAAGAAATGACGAATTTACACTTTAAAAGAATATATATTAAAATTTAAACTTAAAAAAGTAATACAAAAAGAGAAAAAAATTCCGTACAAATATTTTTTTTTTAAATATTTATCATAAATATTTTGAATATATATGTATAACCAATTTAAAAAATATATTAAAATCATAAATTAATACAAAAGAATTTAAATTTTAAATTTAAATAAAAAAAAAACTACCTCTATCATTCTGTAAAAAAAATTATAAAAATTTAATAACTATAAAAATGAAAATTTTAAGTTAGTATATAAGAAATAAATTAAACATTCATTTTTTATTGCAAGAGTATAATTAACACAATTTCCTATGTCGTGAATGAATAACTAAAAATTATTACATGGAAAAAGTGCACAACTTTTTATAGTTATTTTTCACTACTTTTTTTATGAAAAATTATTAAGTCTATTAATAAAATTTATTATTATATATAATGGGTGAGAAAATATTTAATATTTAAAATTTATACTTTTTAGATTTGAATTTTGAACTTGATAGGTGGAGAAAGAGTTCAGCATTTAATGTTTGTGCAGTGGAAAAAAGACATATATAATAAATTTGAATTTAATATAATATTATAGATTAAACAAAAAATCTACTTATAGTTGATAAAAAATAATTTAAATTTGAAATTTAAACTTCATAGGTGGTAAAAAAAGTTTGAAATTTTGTTTGTCAAATAGCTATATTAATATCACACTACTTTTTGCATAGATGATTGTTAAGCCTATTAATAATACCACAACTTTTTGCATAAAAAATTGTTAAACCTATTAATAATATTTTGCTAAGCCTATTAATAATATTTATTATTATGTAATTAAACTAACCAATGATCTTTTGATATTACTCTATCAACTATAAAGAGTTTGATTGAATATTAAACATACGAACTCAAATATTTTCCAACTCTTTATCTCTTATATATGTCACAAATACACATACCACAAAGAGTCGACTTAAAGAGAACTGTAAAAAATATATATATATATATAGAAATCTAGATGCAACTATAAGAACAATTTTGCG